GCGGCAACATACATCAATAAAACTACACATTAAAATATAGCACATACACACAGATGAGTGCAAATCACTATTACATGAGCTCTATTAATACTACACGTGTGTATAATTGAGTGAACATGCTATTGCTATACTGCGTGTGAGTCTGACACACACACACACGCCAGGGCGAAGATGTTTAGGATTCATTCTTAGTGCTTGAGGCAGGGAGATCCAGACACCTTGAGGATTGCCCGTGTAAATTACTATACTATCACACACATGAGTGTACATCACTACACTATCACACACACACACGAGTGTACATCTCTACACTATCACACACACCCAGAGTGTACATCACTACACTATCACGCACACACACACGAGTGTACATCACTACACTATCACACACGAGTGTACATCACTACACTATCACACACACACACGAGTGTACATCACTACACTATCACACACACACGAGTGTACATCACTACACTATCACACACACGTGTACATCACTACACTATCACACACACAGAGTGTACATCACTACACTATCACACACACTGTACATCACTACACTATCACACACACAGTGTACATCACTACACTATCACACACACACACGAGTGTACATCACTACACTATCACACACAGGGTACATCACTACACACACAAACGAGTGTACATCACTACACTATCACACAGACACACGAGTGTACATCACTACACTATCACACACACGAGTGTACATCACTACACTATCACACACACACACACGAGTGTACATCACTACACAATCAGAGACACACACGAGTGTACATCACTACACTATCACACACACAGAGTGTACCTCACTACACTATCACACACACACACACACACGAGTGTACATCACTACACTATCACACACACACACAGTGTACATCATTACACTATCACACACACAAGAGTATACATCACTACACTATCACGCACACACACGAGTGTACATCACTACACTATCACACATACACACACGAGTGTACATCACTACACTATCACACACACACGAGTGTACATCACTACACTATCACACACACACACATGAGTGTACATCACTACACTATCACACACACAGTGTGCATCACTACATTATCACACACACACGAGTGTACATCACTACACTATCACACACGAGTGTACATCACTACACTATCACACACACACAAGTGTACATCACTACACTATCACACACACAGTGTACATCACTACACTATCACACACACACACACACACGAGTGTACATCACTACACAATCACACACACACACACGAGTGTACATCACTACACTATCACACACACACGAGTGTACATCACTACACTATCACACACACAGTGTACATCACTACACTATCACACACACAGTGTCCATCACTACACTATCACACACACACACGAGTGTACATCACTACACAATCACACACACACACGAGTGTACATCACTACACTATCACACACACACACGAGTGTACATCACTACACAATCACACACACACGAGTGTACATCACTACACTATCACACACACACGAGTGTACAGCACTACACTATCACACACACAGTGTACATCACTACACTATCACACACACACAGTGTACATCACTACACTATCACACACACAGTGTACATCACTACACTATCACACACACAGTGTACATCACTACACTATCACACACACAGTGTACATCACTACACTATCACACACACAGTGTACATCACTACACTATCACACACACAGTATACATCACTACACTATCACACACACACACAGAGTGTACATCACTACACTATCACACACACAGTGTACATCACTACACTATCACACACACACAGAGTGTACATCACTACACTATCACACACACACAGTGTACATTACTACACTATCACACACACACGAGTGTACATCACTACAGTATCACACACACACACAGTGTACAACACTACACTATCACACACACACGAGTGTACATCACTACACTATCACACACACGAGTGTACATCACTACACTATCACACACACACACGAGTGTACATCACTACACTATCACACACACAGTGTACATCACTACACTATCACACACACACAGAGTGTACATCACTACACTATCACACACACAGTGTACATTACTACACTATCACACACACACGAGTGTACATCACTACAGTATCACACACACACAGTGTACAACACAACACTATCACACACACACGAGTGTACATCACTACACTATCACACACACGAGTGTACATCACTACACTATCACACACACAGTGTACATCACTACACTATCACACACACAGTGTACATCACTACACTATCACACACACAGTGTACATCACTACACTATCACACACACAGTGTACATCACTACACTATCACACACACAGTATACATCACTACACTATCACACACACACACAGAGTGTACATCACTACACTATCACACACACAGTGTACATCACTACACTATCACACACACACAGAGTGTACATCACTACACTATCACACACACACAGTGTACATTACTACACTATCACACACACGAGTGTACATCACTACAGTATCACACACACACACAGTGTACAACACTACACTATCACACACACACGAGTGTACATCACTACACTATCACACACACGAGTGTACATCACTACACTATCACACACACACACGAGTGTACATCACTACACTATCACACACACAGTGTACATCACTACACTATCACACACACACAGAGTGTACATCACTACACTATCACACACACACAGTGTACATTACTACACTATCACACACACACGAGTGTACATCACTACAGTATCACACACACACACAGTGTACAACACTACACTATCACACACACACGAGTGTACATCACTACACTATCACACACACGAGTGTACATCACTACACTATCACACACACACACGAGTGTACATCACTACACTATCACACACACAGTGTACACCACTACACTATCACACACACACGAGTATACATCACTACACTATCACACACACACGAGTGTACATCACTACACTATCACACAGTGTGCATCACTACACTATCACACACACAGAGTGTACATCACTACACTATCACACACACACACGAGTGTACATCACTACACTCTCACACACGCGAGTATACATCACTACACTATCACACACACACAGTGTGCATCACTACACTATCACACACACACAGTGTACATCACTACACTATCACACACACACAGTGTACATCACTACACTATCACACACACACAGTGTACATCACTACACTATCACACACACACAGTGTACATCACTACACTATCACACACACACAGAGTGTACATCACTACACTATCACACACCCACCTCGTGTGCCGGCCTTCACAGGTGCTCACCAACAGCACTTGCTCCTACAGTCTGTGAAAGGTGACACACGGGAGATGTTTGTGTTTGTTGTACACACACAGAGACGCTATGGCGGTGTTTATATCCACGCTGCTGCTGCTGCTGTGATCCACTGCCTCCCACGGGCACTACCGCACAGTAGGGCTGAACGATTAATCGATTCCAAATCGAAATCGCAATTAGAAACAATGCGATTAGCAAATCGCAAAGGCTACGATTTTTTGCGATTTAAAAAGTCCTGTCAGTCTCTATTTGGAATTGTTTCGTGTTTTATTAATATGAATTTATTTAACTTAACAGTTTTTACATGTTTGTTCTTTTTTAATTAAAATATTTTAATAAATACACGTTGGAAACAATTAATATCTTTAAAGTTCTCATCCTTGCAATAGAATAGAAAGAGCAGTTCATATCGTGATGGTATCACGTGGTAATGCTCCATCACGTGTTTTAAATCTATTACACAATGAATATCGAACTGAAGCTTGATTTACAATGTTTTTTAATCGCAAATCAAATCGCAATGTCAGAAAAATCGCAATCAGAGATTCTCCCCAAATCGTGCAGCCCTAGCGGACAGAGCGCCCCACCTCCTGGCACCTCGCAAAGCCCCACACGGGCAGCCACCACCACCCTGCCTAGCAGGTGCTACAGGCTGCGGGGTCACGTGGTGGGGCAGTCACCACCCTGCCTATCAGGTGCTACAGGCTGCGGGGTCACGTGGTGGGACAGTCACCACCCTGCCTAGCAGGTGCTACAGGTTGCGAGGTCACGTGGTGGGGCAGTCACCACCCTGCCTAGCAGGTGCTACAGGCTGCGGGGTCACGTGGTGGGGCAGTCACCACCCTGCCTAGCAGGTGCTACAGGCTGCCGGGTCACGTGGTGGGGTAGTCACCACCCTGCCTAGCAGGTGCTACAGGCTGCGGGGTCACGTGGTGGGGCAGTCACCACCCTGCCTAGCAGGTGCTACAGGCTGCGTGGTCACGTGGTGGGATAGTCACCACCCTGCCTAGCAGGTGCTACAGGCTGTGGGGTCACGTGGTGGGACAGCCACCACCACCCTGCCTAGCAGGTGCTACAGGCTGCGGGGTCACGTGGTGGGACAGTCACCACCCTGCCTAGCAGGTGCTACAGGCTGCGGGGTCACGTGGTGGGGCAGTCACCACCCTGCCTAGCAGGTGCTACAGGCTGCGGGGTCACGTGGTGGGGCAGTCACCACCCTGCCTAGCAGGTGCTACAGGCTTCGGGGCTACTTGGCGGGCAGCAGCTGGCAGTGCAGACAAACGCACCGTTGTACTGTACTTCTGTGCTCTCGCCTGCCTTCGCCAACGCACGGTGACCGGCGTGGTGAAGTATGGTCAATATCCCCCACGACCCGCATGGTGCAGGGAGGCCCTCATCTAGCAGCGGATTCACAAAGTGCCCGTTAGATGTCATCACACCGCTAGCTACGCGCTACAACCTTGTGTTACAATGCCCATTACGAATTGCTCTATTGTAGTGTGCGTGCGTGTTAGTGCACGAGTGATATTGTTAAAGTGCTGCTGTTGATACCACGGCTACTGTGATTATCGTTACTGCAGACGGACGCTCACCGACTGTGGACCCAAACTCGGCCTACAACAACCTCCAGATGTCCTCGGACCTCAGGACGGTGACGCGGACCGCTGTCTCCCAGGGTCGCCCCGATCACCCACACCGCTTTGATGGCTGTCCACAAGCCCTGTGCTCAGAGAGCTTCTCGTCGGGTCAGCACTACTGGGAGGTGGACGTGGGGGGTGCGGCGGGGCGCTGTCAGGTTGGAGTCGCGTACGGGACGATCGCACGGAAAGGGCGTGGTGACGAGTGCGGGCTGGGACAGAAGGACTCATCCTGGGTGTTATATAAAGTTAACAACAACAGCTGCTACGTGCGTCATGGTGGTGTCTGGACCTCAGTGCCGGTGAGGGATCCTCCCCGGAGAGTCGGGTGTCACCTGCACTGGGAGGCGGGGCTGCTGTCGTTTTACCGCGCCGACTCCATGGCGCTGCTGCACTGCATTCACCACGCGTTTAGTCAGCCGCTCTACCCCGCGCTGGGTGTGTGGGGTGGTGTTGATGGTGACTCAGTGAGGATTCTGGATCTGAGTCGTGCGTCCTGAGAGCACGGAGTGTGAGCAGCGCAGAGAAACGGGCACAACGCACAGACTCACGCACACAAAGACACAGATCCCCCCCGTGCAGCCTAAACAGACTGTTGGGGCAAGGGCTGTTAGCAAACGCCTCAGAAGGCTGACACGACATTCGAGGGGGTGGGTGGCCAACACCACGACTGACCCGCCTTTGTCTCCCCAGTGGTAACGTTTACACACCGCACCAGGAACTCATTTGAGGCTGAGTCGACCTACGAGAGGCCCATGACCCGTTCGCCAACACCATTGCCGATTATCTGATTCGGTCCTGGGTCTCCCCTAGGGTCGACTCAGCCTCAAATGAGTTCTTGGTGTGGTGTGGAAACATCGCCACTGGGGAGACAAAGGCGGGTCAGTCGTGGTAATGTCCACCCACCGCCTTGTGTGCCGTGCCGGCCTTGATAGGTGGTCGCTAACAACACTTGGCCCAACAGTCTGTTAAGGATATACGGAGGGTATTTGTCTGGGTGAGTGGGTTGGTGTGTTTATGCCTTTAGGTGTCTTTGTTATTGTGCCTGTGTCTTTGTGTCTTTGTCTTTGTGTGTGTCTGGACATTGTGCTTGCCACCCACCGCCTCGTGTGTCACAGTGCCAGCCTTAATAGTTGCTGCTCGCTACTTACAGAACTTGCCCCAACAGTCTGTTAAGGCTACGCGGTGAATCTTTGTCTTTAGTATATAGAGGGGCATGTGTGTAGTGTGGGGTGGAGCGGTGGTGCAGTGGTTAGCGCACTGTGGGGGGATGGGGGGGGATTTTAGGTTCTCTCTGACGCCATCGTCCCTCGCACCGCACGCCGCGTGGCGCTCAACGCCGAGAGGGCGGAGCTCCACCGCGGGCGTGCTGGGAACACGTGTCACGTGACGCTACGGGGTGACGCGCGCCGTCCCCCTCGCGGTCACTCGCTCGTTGGGCGATAAACCCGGGGTGGGAATGGGGTGGGAATGGGATGGCATCACTATGACATGTTTGTCATAACCAGGGGTTGAGTGACTCCTCCACTCACACAAACTAGGTTTATTTTACAGGGCTAAGAGAGAAAGAAGCCATTTTAAAACCCAGTAGGAGGGCTTTCGCCACCAATATCTTCTGTAATAAAGGTTGGTTTTGCTGAATGTCTGAATTATCTTTGGACCTCCAGCCACAACCTTCGATTCATGGGATAACGCCTTCCTCTGCTGACAAAAATTGGAACTGTCTCTTGATTTTGAAGTCTGTTATTTAATTAAGTCTGATATATATCTCGAGTGAAAATCTACCTTACACTACAACACGACCAATAGTCTCTCAACACGCATTAATAACACGCAGACACTTTGTTATTACAGGGAGAGAGACACGGCAAACTCCAAATATACAGCAGCTGTCACGGTCGTAATCCAACCCACCACCTCCTGCATACCAGGCGAGGGAGTTAACATCTCCTAGCCACCACGGCGCCCCTCCTTAACGTGAGACACCAATCCGGTGTGAACCTAACTCGAGTCTCAGGCTGTTTAGCAACGCGTAAATGATTTGAGACGCATTGATTATATCGTACCAGTTGTGTTCTTGTGTGAACGCTAATCGCATTGTTCTTTGGGCTGGGAGTGAGATTTCTACTTGCTTCATTGCTGGCATGGGTTTGACTTGTTTTGCTTTTATAATTTTGTGACCCAGGTCACTCTTGTCAATGAGACTCATCCTGATCTCCTGAGTTCTCACCTCGATAAATTTAAATTCAACTCGACTAGATCATCAGCATCAGCAGAAGTATGATCAGCAGAAGAATTAGTAACAGGAGCAACAGCATCAACAGCAGTAGCTCCATCATTATCAGCATCGGGAGTAGAACCAGCAGCATCAGTAATGATAGAATCATTATTAGCAGTAACAGAATCATCAGCAGCAGCAGAAGCAGCATCATTATCATCACTCTTGCAACAGAGACTCATCCTGGTCTCTTGAGTTCCCACCTGGTTAAACAAATCGACTTTAACATGTAGGCTTTCGCGACCAATATTACCAATGGTAAAGGTTTATTGGGTTAGATTGCGTAAATATACATAGACTTGATTGTGTTCTGGGTTACCTGTGAATTGTAATCACATTGTATTGTGGGTCAAGGGTCAATGCGTTCTCGGTGAATAAAAAAATAAAATCTGAAAATCTATTATCAAGATTGTCATCCAGGATGTGAATGTGACTTTCTCATAGCTGAGACTGACTTGTGTAAAGATGTATTTTTTTGGGATGGTTATTGTTGTTTTGTTTGTATAGATGTTATATTATCGGAGATTAAACCCGGGTACGGTTTGTAAATCTACAGCTTACGCCTTCACAGGTAAGTGCTGTCTTGTAAGTGCTGTCTTGGGCCACATTCCATGGCGCGTCTCGTGGTATTTATAGCAGCACTCTCAGTCAGTTTGCTTGTTCCTCATCATCATGAGCTATGATGATGAATGGATCCTGACTGATATATGATCATCAAGAGCACGAAGATGATGATGACTACGCTTGGTAATGATGACCACCACCCATTCACCTGCACCCAACACTCTCCTACCCGACACCTGCAACTCCATAACCTATTACCCCCCCCCCCAGCCGTCTACAGAGACCCTCCCTCCCACCTGCGCACACCTGCTTGGCCATACCCCTGACCATCTTGCCACCCTCCCACCTGCCCACCTCATAAATATTTAAGCGCCCATTCTCGGATGATCTCCCTCCCACCTGATCACCTGCAAACCCGCTCACTCACCCACCCGCACAAAGGCAAAGATCCCCCGTATAGCCTGAACAGACTGTTGGGCAAGTGCTGTTAGCGAGCATCTATGAAGGCCGGCACGGCACACGAGTGGGTGGGTGTCTAGCACCAAGCCCTACCGCCTTTGTCTCCTGAGTGGTGACATTTATACTCCACACCAAGGCACTCATTGGAGGCTGAAACGACCTAAGGGAGGTCCATGACCGGTTCAGACAATGGTCATTGGTGTTGGTGACCATGAGTGGGAATTGAACTTGGATCGTCAGGTTCATAGCACAGTGCACTAACCACTACAACACCAATCTCCACCTACACACACACACCTACTCAACCATCCACACGATCACTCTCCTACCCTCCCATATGATCCCCCACTCATTTACACGTGAAGCTGGGAGATAATGTGTTAAAACTGTAACAATATTAAGTTGATTATTTTTTAAGAATCTTAAACTGTCATGCTTAAATAATGGCAATGATAAAGACGACTTACTTAAAAAAAAACTTTAATAAGAATGTTTTACAAGGTACGGCTTGGTGCAGAAACCCACAGAGCCTCACCATAGCCGACGAAATCAGTCCAAGAGACAAACCATCACCGTTTACCTGGCCACTGTGGATTTTGTAAAAATAGCGACCCGTAAACCCCAACACCGCGGCATGAATGCAACGCTCCTGTCTACCCAGGTGACAGTCGATTCGTGTCTGGGTTCGTCACTGCCGTGTGCGCTCCAGGAACAGCATCTCTCAGCCACAGCGAGCGGCTATCGGTGAGAAGCTTCCACTGAGAGCATAGCGAGTGGACCTGGCCCCCGTCTCGAAGTGGTCAAAGCCGACCGTGTAACGTGTCTCACGTTGCGTCTAGACAGCTGCGTGCGATACGAAGCTCGTGTCTGTGACCTTGACCACCTGAGCACATTTCCACGGAGTGTCTAGTGAGGTTTGTAACCTCGTGCTAAGTAATGTCGGCTGCATTGTTCGTAATAAAGTAGGGCACTGATAAGGGGTTGACTGCTGTTTCATACCCAAACCTGTCAACCCATACGGTTTTACCCGTATTCTGGTACAGGGAAATTGAGTAAAAACATTGTGTTTGTCTATTTGTTTGTGTTTCTCCCTTGTGATGGGGGACTTTGTAGGATGAACGCTGAGATTTATAAGGGACTACGGAGTGACCGATCACGTCTGTATCGATACGTAATAAAGTAGGGCACTGATAAGGGGGTTCACGGCTGTTTCATACCCATACCACGTGCTAGATCTGAGCTGTAAACAGTCAGCGGGCGAGGTTATTGTGAGAAAATGATGAGAAGTAAACTCCTCGGTTCTTGTCGCTAAAGTCACGGAGATATTTTTTTTTTAACCGAAACAACATCAAAGATTTTTCGATTTAAAGCTTTCGTGACTGTAGGGATTCATATTCTTGGTTCTTTCGGTAAAGTCACCACCACGTAAAAGGGAAACAATAAAATAATAAAAATATAAAACAATAAAATCCTCACGACGTTTCGACTGCAACACAAAGCAATCATCATCACCTGAAAGAACCAAGAATACTGTAGATGTGTTATGGTGATTTGTTAACTTTCCTTGTACTTGCGCTACTATCATATTTGTGTACTTTTTGTTGTTGTAACGTTCTTACCCCGTGCTCCTACTGGACATCTGTTATAAAATAGCTTCACAGGTCATCGGATTCCTGCTGCAGTATAAATATTTCGATTCTGATGTGCGTCAGTCCACAGATGCCAAATTATCATCTGTGGTGATAATAATAAATCGCGTTTCCGGTATCTGCTTTGATCCACATTGCTCACCGTAGCTGTTGGGCTGTTCGGAATGTACCACTCACTCAGCGGCGGGGGAGGGGGGTATCAACAATTTCGCAATAACTTTTACTTTAAAACATAAAAACACAAACCCAGACACAGAATTATAAAATCCCTGCAACTGTTATTGTACAGCCATTAACAAATTACAATTTGAATCGACGGAATATTGGAAAGTTGTATTCGTAAAATTATACATTTCATTATTACATAATAATTAAATTCATATAATACCATTCTAATAAAATAATACTAATTAAATTATTATTACTTGACGGTCACGCCAGTTGGTGCAGGCCACGGGGTCGGCGACCTGCGGCTGCTTCGTGAAACGTTTTTATTTATCAACAGCACCACCGTCTCATACTCACACCACGTTATTATTTATCACCACCACCGTCTCTCATACTCACACCACGTTATTATTTATCACCACTACCACCGTCTCTCATACTCACACCACGTTATTATTTATCACCACTACCACCGTCTCTCATACTCACACCACGTTATTATTTATCACCACCACCGTCTCATACTCACACCACGTTTTTATTTATCAACAGCACCACCGTCTCATACTCACACCACGTTATTATTTATCACCACCACCGTCTCTCATACTCACACCACGTTATTATTTATCACCACTACCACCGTCTCTCATACTCACACCACGTTATTATTTATCACCACCACCGTCTCATACTCACACCACGTTTTTATTT